TAGGGGTTCAAATATAGAGGGAAAGGGCCTATGAATAAAAGTGCACCCCCTTTTCCAATCAGTTAAGGGTCTTGGGATAGTTGGAGTTAAGCGTCCTTGGGTTTGAATAGTACTGGGTTGGGTGACCTCCCGGGAAGTCCAAACTCAGGAGCTTACACAGAGGTTGGGTTCGAGTCCCGACCCTTTAGTGCTTGGGTTCGAGTCCCAAATCACTAGGGTGTGGTGATGGTTTGGAATATGAGGACACTCATATTTCGGTGGTCATGGACTCTCAGTGAAGAGATTGGCTTGGGCACACCGCCAAGCGGGGGATGCTCCGGAGTCATGATGCACAGTTAGATTGCTTAGTGTGGCTCAGCATATCTAACTTGAACACTTTGGTGCGAGTAACACTGAGGACGTGGTGAATGAGATGGGGACACCCAGTCTTAGTTGCTATGGATCCTTGGCCAGAAGGGCTGGCTTGGGTGCACCGCCAAATGTGGGGGATGCCCCCAGGGTCATGGTCAACAAGTTAAAGGTCTAGAAGACCTAGTACCTATTGGCAAACTTGTTAAGGTGTCAAGATTAAATCACTAGGTGATCGTACGGCTAAACAAGGACGAGGTCCTTGTGAGGCTAAGGAACAAAGTTCCTAGTTCAAAACGTTGATTTGAACTATTGATAATGGTGTGGCTTGGTCAAGATGACCAAGTGGGAAGGACACCTAAGGGAAATGAACTATGACGATACAATGGTATTGTGAGTTCAAGAAAGTAGTCTCTAGAAAGGACCTATGGGAGGGTCACAATGTTGGGCCGTGGAAGGGGCCCATTGCAGAAGTTGCTAAAGAGACCTACTAGGGGTGAGCACCCTCTAGACTTGGTGAAGTGGAGCTTTGCCATGGAACTAAAAGAATACCTCAAGGAGGGAGGTATGTTGCTTGATGCAACAATCAATGAATAGGAGCAAAAGACTAGTGGCCAAGTTTGGGCCATGGAATTTAATGGGAGGAATCCAAATGGCAAGGTTAGCCAAGGAACACTAATGTGTTTGATGTTAATGGATTGCGGGAAAGGAAGTGGACTTCTAAGGATAGATTCCCAAGTGCTCCAATTTGGCAAAGTAAAAGTTCCATGTGAGGAGCAACAAAGTAACCAAAGGATAGGGCTGTGGACAGCTCTGGCACAAATGATGATAATTGGAACATAGTGCCAAGGGTGGCACAAAACAGAAAAGAAGATGATGGTGCCCTCAAGTAAAAAACTTCCTAGGATAGGGAAGTGGACTTGCACAATATGTGCAATGCAAGGTGTCGGAGACACCTAGGAAATTGACTTCAAGAAGTCAAAAGTAAATGTTCCAAAGTGCAAAGGTTATGTCGATGGAAACTGAGACTACTTGAGAAGTAGCAGGATTGAGATATAGACGATATCTTTAACAGGTTTAGCGAGAACTAAACCAATAAAAGGAGAGAACCACTACAAGTGGTCTAATCAGTCTCTAAGTTGGAGAGACTATCCTCCTTAGAGGATGGGCAAGGCATGGCAAGCCTTCAATATCAAACCATTGACGAATATTGGTGAGGGGCCAAGGATGGAAATGGTAATACAAGTTGATATTACTTTATAAAATAGTTTATCGTTCGATGAGGACATCGAACTTCGTCTATGGGTGGTGGATTTGTGAGACACAAAATCCCTAGGCCCCAAAGTGGAGCCAGAAAGGGTGCCACATGGTAGTGGCTGAAGCAAAAGCCAAATGAGCGTAACACGTTTGGACTAAAAGCTCTGACTTAGAAGGTCGAGAGCGGGAGTGGAACTCCCAACAAAGTGCTCGACAAGCGAGCATGAGGCAACCAATAAGCAAGGCTCCAAAAAGGGACCCAAAAAGGACCAACACATGACACGTGGAAGTGTCTGAGATGGATCCGAGATAGACCCAAGACAGAGTCCAAAATGGAGTCCGAGATGGAGTCCGAGATGGAGTCCGAGATGGACCCGAGATGGAGTCTAAGATGGAGTCCGAAATGGAGTCTGAGATGGACCCGGGATGGAGTCCGAGATGGACCCGAGATGGAGTCCGAGATGAAACCCGAGATGGAGTCCGAGATGGAACCAAGACCGAGATTGAGACTGAGATCGAGACCGAGTCTGAGTCCGAGTCCGAAACCGGGATTGAGACCGAGTTCGAGTTCGAGTTTGAATACTAATACAAGCAGTTGGGTGAATGCCCAAAGCGATCGTCCCTTGGGCAGGGGAGGGGGGGGGGGCGGCTGTAGGGGGTTCCAAAAGTATAGTAGGGAGAGTGTGGGGGTTGGAGCCCAGTGGAGTCAGTTTGGCCAGAAAAGGCTAGTTTGGCCCAGGAAAGGCTAGTTTGGCCCAGGAAAGGCTAGTTTGGCCTAGGAAGGCCATACCTAGTGTTGGGTGATGAACTGACCATTGGGAAGTCCAAGACTAAAGTGAATACGGACCAACAAGCGGGGTAGCTTGGTGCAGTGTTCAAGAGCCGACTCTAGTTTCTTTGGGAGATCGACTGGCCGATGCTCCCAGTCCAAGTGTGGGTGGCACTACCTACTTGGATACCTGGCGTGGCTCAACAAAACCTCGCTCTAAGCCCATGGCTAGAGCACCCAAAGGCAGAAGGCGGGGAGAGTACCCATGAGGCCCGCGTAGGGCCACAGTATTCCGAAATGTTGTCCCAAAGGCCCAGATTGTGGAAAGGAAGAGGAGTAATCCTCTAGTGTAGTGACTAAGGATACAGTCAAGTGGTGAGGAAGTCCCAGAGGACCGTGGGACTTAGTGGTCGGGCCTGTGGGCCTCGATCCAGTGGCAGTGTTGGCAAACATGGCTATGGCGAACATGGCTAGGTTTTAATGTTCTTACAATCAATAAATACACTGATTTAGATCAATAGTGAATGCTCTCCATAAAGATTGGACAGAAGTAACCATTCTCAATGATATATGGGAGAGGATTTCTTGAATCATGTTATTTGTCTTCTTCATGCAATTTTGGGCATGGATTTGCTTGGACATCTCCCAGATCATGCTTGCTCTCGTCCTATCAAACTTTTACTTGAATAGCATGCAAAAGTTTTTGCCTTCTTTGATTTGAACCCCATACCAGACCTTGTCTCCCGTGCATCTTCTAGAGTTGCAAAGGTCCTCGAGTTGCCTCATCATGTAGCATTTTGTCCCGCCAATCACCACCAAGAGCTGAGCATTCCTCTCATCATCATCGTCGCGATCTCTTCTCTCTTGGATGCAGTAGAGCTCCAGCACAGTGGAGGTAGTCTGGTGTCAATAGCTTGGACATCGGTCGTGGCCAGAAGTTATAGAAATCTTGATGCTAAGTGATATCTAACTCATCAATCTCCTTGCTGCTCAGACTTTTCTTTGGGATGGCTATTACTTCCTACTTGTCCCTCCTCCTCTTGCTGCCACTTTGTGTTCTTTCCCTTCTTGATCACGTTACTGTTACCTTTAGCCTTCTCTCCAATCTTTTCACCAATTAAACCCACAGTTTAAGCTTAAATTAACAAACCAAAGCCACTGACCTTTTCAAAGTCACCGAGAGAAAAGAAATACATGGTACTTGGCTATCTCTCACTTGCAAGGGATGGGCTCACCTTCTTTGTCTGTGAGAGCTTTATAAGCGGCTTGGATCCTCGCGACGTGAGCTTCCAATTCGTCGGCCATCGATCTCTATGACCTAGATCATCAGGAGTTTTGCAAATTCACACATGAAAGGATATGGAAAGCTAGTAAATACCAGTGTGAGCTCTCCCATTGTTCCCGTTGTCCACACCTATAGCGTTGGAAGAACACAACTCTTAAGTCAATCTAGATGATGACGGGTTTACTAAAGCTACCTCGTCTGCTGTGTGAAACTCTGTCAATGAAATCCTTCTCTCGATCATTGCGATTTTTTCTTGTTTCACGAGCTCAATAACCTGGACAAGGAGAGTCAAGGAGTTAGTGAGATGAGAAGCTCAGTTGGAAAGTTGTTACGGTTTCTCGTGTGATTCCTGGTAAGCAGTAATCCGCCGAGGGCGTCAAAACACGTCCCTTTTTCACCATGAACTGTCAAACAGAAGAAACGATAAGAATCTAGAATCGCAAATCGTTTTCCCAGCTTAACTTTTTAACTTATGTTGCGTCCCTTTGTTGTAAACAGTGCCTAGATTCGAAGATTCACCATAACAATCTCATCAACAACATACTTGCGAAGGTCTGTTTTTCTGTGATGTCCTTACTTACGTTTGGAGAGTTTCTACGGGTTGAAGCAGTGTGCCTCTCCGGGTGGGATCGTCGAATTTTTGGAAAGGTAACGAGCTCCGGGGGTCGTCGTTGCTGCTGCAGCTGTTGTGGGCGGCGAGCATTGCGCTCCAGAGCACTAGATCTTGATCTGGGCTCGTGTCAAATTGGAGAAGAAAGCAACCACCATTCACTACACTCACTCAAATCACTCCTCCACTACTGCTGGCTGGGGAGATCTTTGCTTCTTCTTCTTCTTCTTCTTTTTTTTCTCCTTTTTTTTCTTTCTTCCAAGAAGGACAAACTTGCAATTAAAACCATGGCCTTCACAGTGTCCAAAGAGGCCACAGAGCTTTGTTGGCTGCCTGGCCCTTGAGCTGGGGCTGGGGCTGGGGATGCTCTTGCTCTACTGCTATTCTACTACTCCTGAGCTCTCTGGCCTCTTTGTTGGCGCTGGACTGTGAGGAAATCTCTGTGAGCGAGAGATTTTTAAAGGCTGTAAAGAGATTTTACAAATCTTCTCTAGACCACCACAAGCTTTGAATGGTCGATCATGAAATGCGTAGCAAGGACCACCCACACACAGGGGGCTGTAAAGCAAAATGTTTTGTATGGTGCTATGATTGACTTAAAGCTCTAAGTTTTATTCTCTAGGACTTCTAAGTTTCTTCTCTAGAGCTTGGAGTGCTCTAGATATAACTTTGAAAGTTTATCTTTTCTAAGTTCTGAGTATACTTTCTTTTGACAGGTTAAGGTGAAGTCTGCCATGAAATCCCAGAGCATGACAGGTTAAGGTGAAGTCTGCCATGAAATCCCAGAGCAAGACGCGCTTGATCGGACCAAACTGCCCTGGGATCATCAAGCCTGGAGAGTGTAAGATCGGAATCATGCCGGGATACATCCACAAGCCGGGTCGCATTGGCATTGTTTCTCGGTCCGGTACACTGACTTACGAAGCGGTACTGAAACATTTTCTCGTTTTATCAGAGTTAGCTTATGTGACATCCTTTGCTTTTCTCTTTTCTTCTTTTGCAGGTTTTTCAAACGACTGCTGTTGGTCTGGGCCAGTCGACCTGCGTTGGGATCGGAGGCGATCCATTCAACGGAACGAATTTCGTGGACTGTTTGGAGCGTTTTGTCCAGGACTCACAAACGGAAGGTATTACGCTCTCTTATTTACGCTGCGAGTGTCGGTTCAAGTCCTTTCCGCTTTGCCAGGCATTATTTTGATTGGAGAGATCGGTGGAACCGCGGAAGAGGATGCTGCGCAATTTATCAAGGTGAAACTCGATCTCTTAATTTGTATAACGCCTTGGACATAACTTGAGGAGGAAACTCTTGCAGGAGAGTGGGACGGAAAAGCCTGTAGTGTCCTTCATTGCAGGATTGACAGCCCCGCCTGGGCGTCGAATGGGTCACGCTGGAGGTAAGCTTGAAATCTCAAGCATAAAAGATAAATGGTGTGTTCCTTGCAGCTATAATCTCGGGAGGCAAAGGCACGGCCCAGGACAAAATCAAAACACTGAAAGCTGCGGGAGTCACGGTTGTAGAATCACCAGCCAAGATTGGTGAAGCGATGCACCAGGAATTTAAGAAGCGAAACATGCTTTGACAATGTCGATCGATCGAGAGAGAGAGAGACGAGAAATAACACACTATTTTTTGTTCTCCATTTTGATAGTCATTAAATACACTGTTTTAGATCAATGGTGGACGCTTTCCACACGGATTGGAGAGAAGTAACCATTCCCCGTGATATGGGACAGGATCTCTTGGATTGTGTTGTTTGTCTTCTTCACGCAGTTTTGGGCATGGATTTCCTTGGACATCTCCCGGATCATTCTCGCTCTCATCCCATCAAACTTGTACTTGAATAGCGTGCAAAAGTTTCCACCTTCTTTGATTTGAACCCCATACCAGACCTTTTCTTCCCTGCATCTTTTAGAGTTACACAGGTCCTCAAGTCGCCTCATCATGTGGCATTTCGTCCCGCCAATTACCACCAAGAGCTGGGCGTTCCTCTTGTCATGATCGTTGCAATCTCTTCTCTCCTGGATGCAGTAGAGCTCCTGGGTGAGGAGCCTGTAAAGCTCTTGAGCTCCAGCGCAGTGGAGGTAGTCCGGTGTCAGTAGCTTGGACGTTGGTCGCGGCCAGAAGTCATGGAAATCTTGATGCCAAGTGATATCTAACCCATCAATGTTACATGCTACCTGATTTTTCTTTGGGATCCCAAGGCGCTTTCTCTTTGGGGCCCTGGCCGCTTGTCCTTCCTCCTCTCGCTGCCTCTTCGTGTTCTTTACCTTCTTGATCGCGTCGCTGTTACCTTTGGCGCTCTCCATCGCTGCCACGCTATGAGCTTTGGCCTTCTTGTCCAGCTGATAATCCTTTTCGTCAAACCTAAAGGGTCTATTTAGATAAAGCAAGAAAAGGCAATTCACGGAACCCATGGTTTAAGCCTTTTCAAGAAATTATGTGATGGCAAAACTCACCAAGAACCAGTGTGAGCTCTCCCATTGTTCCCGTTGTCCACACCTATAGCATTGGAAGAATGTTCCATCTAGATGATACGTCATCTGCTGTGTGAAACTCTGTTAATGAAGATGTTATGGTCAGCAGTAATCTGGCGAGGGTGTCAAAACACGTCCCTTTTTCACCATGAACTGTCAAACAGGAGAAATGATGTAAATCTAGATTCACAAATCGGTTTGCCATCTTAAATATTTTTGTAGCATTTTTCTGTGCGATCTCTTTGTCCTTCCTTGCCTTGGTCTTTCTTTGCCACTTTGGCAGCCCTTGAGTCTGCTATGCTGAAAGACAAATCATTGAAAAGGACATCACAGAGAAAACAGCTTTGCTTAAGTTTCTGAAGTATCTTGTTTATGAGATTGTTATGGTGAATCTTCAAATCTATTCATTGTTTATAACAAGGGACACAATATAAGTTAAAAAACCAAAAATTACACAAATGTGATTATGGGTATCAAAAGTTAATTGTATATAATTTTTTTTTTAGATATTCTTTTTTTACTGTCACAATGGCAAAAGATCAATATTGTTTAACCCTTTATTAGTTTCTGAACCATTCAGCAACTAAAAATATCTTTTGTCATTCACACTATTTTTTATTCTCCATTTTGATACATTCTGTTATGTTAGTTTCAATTATAGGATTGTTGTGTTCTTATAATCAATGGTAAACACTCTTGGAATACTTAATTACTATATCAACCAACCCAACTTTGGACATTACATTCTTAAGTGACACCCTTTCAACTTGCTTTAATCCCAATGGATCCCTTGCTAGAGTTCATATTGATACTAACATTGGGTAGGCAAGAATAACTTCTATAAAAATTACAAATTTTCTCTTTAAAAAATTTATCATTTTTTCAATTAATTATAAAACGGTATTATATAAAATAATAATATAATATATTCTCATTAAAATAAATAAATTTTTAATTATCCATGAATTTTTTTTATAAAGTTCAAAGTAATCACTTTTTTGAGAAGGTTGCCAATTATACTCAATTTGTTTACCAATTGTTTATTTGCCTGGAACACCTGATCATACCAAATTGATTAGTGCCTTCCACAGCAAACCAGATTTCATTGACATTATAAAGGTATTATAATTACCAGACCATTTACAAAGGTGCCATGCACAGAAAGCTCATTATCAATTATCCATTACTGACAGACAGAGTTTCAAGTTTGAGCTCCTATACAAAGATATCTAAAATGAGCTCTAGCAAAATCTATACACTTGACAATCTTACCTTTGTAACTGTTCGACTTAGCCAGGAAGAACAGAATAAATGGGAAAATAGAGGTGAGATTAGGTGAGTTTTTTTTCCATATTTTAATCTAGCTTTAATCTAGGGACCCTTTCCTTACAATGGATTGGCATTCACTAGCTTTCACTTTTGACGTAAGAAACTTCATATTTTCTTTTCATTTGGGCATGCAAGAGGATCACATCATTTTAGAATAGAAGATAGGGGAACTCCAAAGAATCAAACTTGTAACCTCTGGCAACTAAAGCAAGAATCATAGCACTAGACTAAATGTCTATTTTGACCAAAAGGATCAATTAGCTACACTAGCTAATTAGAAACAATTATAACTTTTAATTAATGACAAAGCAGGAAACTACTTACATTGCTCAAAGGAGCCATTTGTTATAGCATGGTCCTTTTAGTTGAAGGTAAGATTAAAAAGCAAAACACAGAAAGATAGAGATGAGGAAATTTCATACTCTCCATTTTGATACATTGAAAGGTTTGTATTACAAAGGTTCTAATGTTCTTACAATCAATAAATACACTAATTTAGATCAATAGTGATTGCTCTTCAGAAGGATTGGAGAGAAGTAACCATTCCCAGTGATATATAGGAGAGGGTCTCTTGAATCATGTTATTTGTCTTCCTCATGCAATTTTGGGCATGGATCTCCTTGGACATCTCCCAGATCGTGCTCACTCTCGTCTTATCAAACTTGTACTTGAATAGAATGCAAAAGTTTTTGCCTTCTTTGACTTGAACCCTATATCAGACCTTGTCTCCCGTGCATCTTCTAGAGCTGCAAAAGTCCTTGAGTTACCTTATCATGTGGCATTTTGTCTTGCCAATCACCACCAAGAGCTGGGCGTTCCTCTCATCATGATCGTAGCAATTTATTCTTTCCTGGATGCAGTAGAGCTCTTGGGTGAGCCTGTAAAGCTCTTGAGCTCTAGCGCAGTGGAGGTAGTCCCGTATCAATAGCTTGGATGTCGGTCGCGGCCAGAAGTTATAGAAATCTTGATGCTAAGTGATATCTAACTCATCAATTTTACATGCTACCTTGCTGCTCAGACTTTTCTTTGGGATGGCCATTACTTCCTGCTTGTCCCTCCTCCTCTCACTGCCTCTTCGTGTTCTTTCCCTTCTTGATCACGTTACTGTTACCTTTAGCCTTCTTGGGCACGCTCTCCATCGCTGCCAATCTTTTCAGTCGAGGCTTAAAAGGTCTATTTATATGGAACAAGAAAAGGCAATTAAACCCACAGTTTAAGCTTAGATTAACAAACCAAAGCCACTGAGGAAGTGGCCTTTTCAGACGGTGAGAAGCGAGACTAAAGTCACCGAGAAGGTGGCTTGAGAAAAGAAATACATGGTACTTGGCTATCTCTCACTTGCAAGGGATGGGCTCGCCTTCTTTGTCTGTGAGAGCTTTATAAGCGGCTTGGATCCTCGAGGTAATGCGACGTGAGCTTCCAATTTGTCGGCCATCGATCTCTATGACCTGGATCATCAGGAGTTTTGCAAATTCACACATGAAAGGATATGGAAAGCTAGCAAAATACCGGTGTGATCTCTCCCATTGTTCCTGTTGTCCACACCTATAGCGTTGGAAGAACACAACTCTTAAGTCCATCTAGATGATGACGGGTTTACTAAAGCTACCTCGTCTGCTGTGTGAAACTCTGTCAATGAAATCCTTCTCTCGATCATTGCGATTTTTTCTTGTTTCACGAGCTCAATAACCTGGACAAGGAGAGTCAACGAGTTAATGAGATGGGAAGCTCAGTTGGAAAGTTGTTACGGTTTCTCGTGTGATTCCTGGTAAGCAGTAATCCACCGAGGGCGTCAAAACACGTCCCTTTTTCACCATGAACTGTCAAACAGAAACGATAAGAATCTAGAATCGCAAATCGTTTTCCCAGCTTAACTATGTTTGTAGCATTTGTTTCAGACACAAAGCCGTCGCAGTCGAGCATTATAGCATCGTCCACACCAGCAGTGTTTCCCTCCACCTATGAAAAACGCTATGCGTGAATCTTCGAAAAGGACATCACAGAGAAACAGACCTTCGCAAGTATGTTGTTGATGAGATTGTTATGGTGAATCTTCGAATCTAGGCACTGTTTACAACAAGGGACGCAACAGAAGTTAAAAAAACCAAAACCCGACGACCTTACTTACGTTTGGAGAGTTTCTACGGGTTGAAGCAGTGATTAATCGAATGCCTCCACTATTGTCATACACCGGTGGCTTCCATTCAGCGACAACTGGAAGAATCTCCTGTCAATTAAGTATTTGTATGTCGAGAAAATTCGTACCTAGAAGTGTGCAGCCATACAAGTTGAATGCAGGACTCATTCCAGACGTAACCTATACAAAAGCACTGCGTACGTGTTTACAGCCTCCTAATATTTCAAAAGCAAGAAAAAAAACCTTCATTCCTCTTGTCAGTGTGAGACGAACGTGAGCGTTGTCAAACATCCCGTTTATAATCAATGTCGAAAACAAGGCTCGTTTCACCTGCAAACTCACGCGTTAGTAATCCGAGTCTCGAACAAGGTTTCTTACAAAGTCACGGCTCGGAAGGTTTGTGAATGCCATCGCCTTGGCCGAATCAAACAACCTGTTCAAGCATGGATGTCAAATTCGAAAGAAAAAGAAATTCTCTAACCTGTCTAAATGCTCCCCCAGCTTGAAAACCTTCCCTTTGTAAATGCGGAGCCCTTCCCAGACACCGTCTCCACCTTGCACGATAGAATCAAACACAGAAACCTGATAGGACGAGAATCTAAACAAAAGAAGCTCCAGGTTAGAAAAGAGGTTTGTACCTTAGCGTCATCTCGGGGAACTATCTCGTCTCCGACCCAGGCAAAGATATTCTTGTTGGACGGCACCGGCAATGGTGGAGCCTCGGGTGCCTGTGGCTGCAAAGCATGCCGCTTAAGCATCTTATAAATTGGTCGGCATTCCTCCAAGAGTGTATATAAAGCCTTTGGGAAAGGCTGCAAAAGAACGAAGAAATATCCAGTATACTTAGACAGGATCTCTCAAAGGTAAATACAGACCTTTCGTGGATGGAGCGGCAATGGCGAGAATTCCGTAGACCTGTGAACAGAGCTATACCACCACTTTGCCCACATCCCATCCTCTGGTTTGGGACCAGCATTCCACCTAAAAGTTTCACAGTTTGAGTCAACCAAAAGAAAAAACTAGAGAAAAGAAAGATCCAAGTTACTTGAGCATGGCATGTTGGAAGTCCATGCCAAGTGCCGCGCACAAAGCTCGTAGAACGCCCTGTAGATAGAAAAGCAAAAGAGAGCACCAATAGTAATCTGTGAGAAGCGTGGAAGATAGAAAAGAAAAAGAGAGCACCAATGATAATCTGTGAGAAACGTGGAAGTCATACCTCGGGATCCTTTTGAAGGTCTGACGCGTCAATCACGGGTGGACTTTCTCCAATGCTTTGGAGGTCACTGTACATACTGAGAAGCGACGACCATTGGAGATCCTTGAGAGTCGCGGGAACAACATCATCGAAAGAAGGCTGTACACAAACACGAAGCGTGAGACACCGACCTCAAACATTCATTGTACGAGGAACTTACGAGAATCGCCAGCGGATCTCTGATAAGAATGACATGCTTCCCCTTGAGAATGTCATCTGTGAGACAAGGTGTCCGGAATTTGGCCATTTGCTGCAAGAAACTCGAGCGAATTGGATCGGTGGATGCTCACAAGGAGTGAGCTTTCTCGTACCTTGCAGAAGCGATACTTCATCTTGCATGGACCGAAGATCGCCTCCACGACTTTGCTCCCATCCGACTCCTACTCACACCAAACTTCGAAATAAGGGGCTCCAAGAAGAAAGAAGAGGCGAACTTCTCACCATTTCCGTCAAGAGCTCGTCCCGATATGGCCTCTCCGCGCCGCTGACGCGCAGGTAATGCGCATAGAGCGGCTCATCCAGCACCTCGGTATCGTCTCGCTGGCATCACAGCGATGATAAATATCGCGAAATTACTCACGGGAGCAAAGCAAGCTCAAGAAATCTAGATCTCCACCTGCGCGAAGGAGTACATGAGGCTTGTACTCAGCGATCTCGGCCCCGTCCATAGCTGGATCACCTCCACGGGCTTGGCATTCATCTCGCCCCCATTTCCTTCCATCGCCGCGAATGTATTGCCTTAGCCTAGAAAAAAAGAAATACCAAAAACTTTGTCGTCATGCCCGGGACAACCAAAGTAAAAGTTTTTGTAGATAAACTTAGTCTAGGTCATGTTTAAAGATAATAGCACGAATCTACTATTATCTTAATCCTTGGAACGTTTATACATTGATTAACAAAGCATGCTACTCCAATTGCTTTATCAGGCTTTGCATCTGCAGGAACAAGAGTTGATTAACGCGATTTTTTTTTTTTTACCACATTTTCACAAGAGCTACCGACCTGTTCCTCAAGCTCTGCAATTCTTTGATCCTTAAGTTTCAATGTTGCCGATCCCCTGCGAGGGTGTCCCTGGATTATAGCTTGCTGGAACATGGAAATAAAAACTCACCTTTCCTCCAAGTCATGGCACTTGTTCTCCCATTTCTTTTGGTTATCAGCGAGGCACTGGTTCAGCTGTAGCACACGGCGAGTGTTAAGATCAAGGCGGAGTGTGGTATGACAAAACGTAACCTGAGTAAGGAAGTTCTTCTCCTTTTCCGCTTTATCCAGCCTCAGCTGGAGCTTGTGCAGCCGAGCCGACGCTTGCCTCTCAATCGCGGAGGCTATTTCATATTCTTGCTCCTCCACAATCTGGACGAGTCGTCCCTCATAGTACTGGAAGAAAAAATGCGCTAGCTTTTTAAGATTCTGCGAGAACACTTACTTTGCTCTGGCTTTCCAACTGTTTGGCCTGGAGGATTTCGTATTCCTTCTTTAGCTGCAAGTCAACCGGTTGCGTTTTCACATGACGAGCAAAACACGAAACGAAACATGACGTACACTGTCGAGCTTGGTGTCGCACGAACGTTCAAACGCGTCAGAACCACCGCTACACTCACAGCCGCTGCATTCATCGCTCGAGGGAGCCATTAGCTCCATCAAGTTTCCATCTGTTTTAGACAGGATAAAGCGGTGTACGTAGTTGTCCCCCACGTAGTCCCACACTCTCTGGCTCTCGAGCTCTAGCGAACAGCAGTGCCTGGTCTCCTTCCAGTGCCTTATAGCGTGGCCTTCCTTGTACCTAGTGAAAGGAAGAACGAAAAAAAAGAGAGTCATTGGTTTGAAGCGTATGATCGAATACCTTCCGCAGCCTACGAAACCGCATATCACACAGACCCAAAGGTTCTCACTCGTGGGACAAACGGAGCACGTCGTATTCTCCGATTGAAGACTGTACCAGCAGACCTGCCAAGAACTTAGCGGTGTATAAGCACACAGTGAAAACGAGTAGCATACGAACTAAGCAAGAGGAGTTTCGCGGATCAAAAGAGTCAACTTTTCTCGCAGGAACGCCGCTTATGTGCTCGTCAAGCCGCTCTGCAAGCAAAACAGTGTCAAATTCTTTCTAGTTTTTGAAACACTCACGGAGACAAAATGTGCAAGTCGGGATTTCTGTCAATCCAGGAGGAGCTTCGCATGCGTCTTGTAAGGAATTCGTGAAGTAGACATCCGTTGTGTATAGTACGTGGCAAATGGCATTCTATCAAACAAGGAGGAAAGGTCAGCAAGCGTGAACTCAAGCAAACTACATGTATCACCTTCAATGGAAGAAGATCCACATCGAAAGAATGGTAGAACGCATCAGCGGAGCTTTGAGAGTCGAATTGGAGCACCATAGTCTGGCTTGTATCATTCCTGGAAGATTGGAAACACTAAACTTCACAAAGGTAAACGCAAAGAAGGCATTCATTTTCCCTCAAACCTGATGCATTGGAGTTTTTCGATCTTGTCCGAGAAAGAGCTCGCAATCTGGAAGAATTCAGCGGGCTCGATCGCGCTGGGGACGCCAAGGACGCACAGATTCTCGCTGCGCTCGTCCTGCCACACGAACTAGGGGGATTTTTAAGCCAGGGAACACAAGATAGGAGCGTACCGGCAGGCTGCCAAAGGAAATGCCAGGTCTCTCGAAAACATCGCGAAAGAGATGCACAGCGCCTCGAAAGATTGCTACGCGCTGCTCGATCTCCTCCTCGCCATCGCAGCGCGGCTTCTCCTCTCCCTCCAGGAAAACCCTGAGAGTAAACATTTTGTCCCAAATACTTTGACCTAATCGAAGTATTTCTTGGGCATTTTGATTGATTGATGATCAGTAGAGGGCAGTGGCTGGAGACGATTTCTCGATGCACAAGCTACTCTGAGGCGAAGATCATCGACCGGAGTCTCCGATCGCCAGCTGCGGCAGCCAACGACGTCTTCTTGCAGGAAAAGCTTGTGGAAATGTACGTCAATTGTGGCGGCATCGATGCCGCGCGAGAGATTTTCGACACGATTCACTCGAGGTGTTCGATCTTTACGTGGGATTTCATGATCAACGCCTACACTCAATCAGGCCACACCGATCATGCCAAGGCACTTTTTGACAAACATCCTGAGCCGGATCTCGTGCTGTGGACGAGGATGATCACGGCATTTGCCAAAAGGAGGGATTTGGATCAAGCGAAAGTAATGTTTGATGGCGTGCCACTCCGAGATCTCGTTTGCTGGAACTCCGCGCTCGCTGCTTTTGCTCAAAACACTCCCCTTGATGGGTTTATGCTTCTTTTCAACGAGATGCCGGAAAGGGATTTGCTGTCTTGGACTACAGCACTTACCGCCATCGCGCGTGCCGGGGACTTACAGCTCGCAAGAGAGTTTTTCCTAGAAATGCCGCAGCGGAACTGGTTGTCTTACAACATTTTTCTTGGCGTGTGTGTATGTTCTGCCTCTCTTGAATGTGCTAAAGACGCGTTTTATGCTATGCCAGAGAGGGATTTGTTCTCTTGGATGTCAATCTTAACAGCATATGCTCAAGCCCGGCATGTCGAAGGTGCAAAGAAGATTTTTAATATGGTGCCGGAGCACAACCTCGTTTTGTACACGGTTATGATCACAATGCTGTTTCAAGTAGATCTGTTTGAGGACGCTCAAACGTTGCTTGAAAATGTGTCTCACGTAGATCTAAAACTGGCATCTGCTGTTTTAGTAGCATATGCCCAATCAGGGCATATTTTAGAGGCAAAACAAATGCTGGAGAGCATGCCGGCATTAGACTTGGATTCTTCGGCTGTCATGGTTGAAATGTTAATAGAATCAGGAAATGTTGTCGAAGCAGAGCGTATGTTCTATGGGATGCCCGAGTGGAATCTTCTCTCGTGGACATCACTTGTGTCTGGATATGCCAAAGCTCGGTACATTGCAAAGGCCATGCACGCATTCGAGAGCATGCCGGAGAGAACTATCACGGTCTGGAATGCTTTCTTAAACGGAATTTCGAGTCATTTTCTTGTGACAGAAATCAACAGAATTCTTTTGCGTATGCCTGAATGGGATCTAGTCACGTACTCTCTGATGCTCACTGCATATGCCCAAGCTGGTGATTTCAGAGAAGCCCGAGTTTTGTTTGATAGCATGCCTCAAAGGAATCTTTGCTCATGTAACGCAATGCTTTCGGCTTGTGTAGAAGCAGGGAATCTCGAATACGCTCAAACCATTCTCAACAACATGCCCGTGTGTGATCTGGTGTCATGGAACACACTCTTAGGAGTATACAACCAGTTGGGGCATATTAACGATGCAACGAAGTTGTTTGATTCTATTCCAGAGTTAGATCTCATCACTTGTAATACCATGATATCAGCTTTTACAAGGCACAGGTTTACGCAAAGAGCTCGACAGATTTACGAGGAGATGCCATCGAAGAATCTCCTAACTTGGAACTCTATGCTTTCTCTGTATGCCCAAGATGGGCATGTGGAGGATGCCAAACAAACGTTTGATAATATGCCTGAGAGGGATCTCGTCTCGTGGACATCGTTGTTAGCGGCGCAAAAATCCCAGTCTCTTTCAGCCATGGCCAACACTTTCTACAAAGGAATGCCAGAGCACGACGTCGTCTCACGGACCGTAATGCTTGCGGCGTTTGCCCAGAAAGGAGATTTCAGGCGATCCAAGAAGATGTTTGACACGAGCCCAGATCAAGATCTAGTGCTCTGGAGCGCAATGCTCGCCGCCCACAACAGCTGCAGCAGCAACGACGACCCCCGAAGCTCGTTACCTTTCCAAACATTCGACGCCATGAAGGCAGCGGCTCTGAAACCAGACCCCGCTTGTTTCGTGTCGGTCCTGATCGCTTGCAGCCACCACGGCAAGCCCGCCGAGGGGAGGCATCACTTCGTCTCGATGAGAGCCGACTTTGGCCTGGGAGCGTCGAAGCAGCACTACTCCTGCATGGTGGACGCGCTCGCCCGGTCCGGCTACCTCGATTCCTGCCAAGAGCTCGTGGAAACCATGCCTTTCGCGGCCGACGTTGTGGACTGGACGTACTTGCTGGGTGCTTGGGTGAGCTACGGAGACGCGCAAAGAGGACGAGCGGCGGCGGCACGGCTGCTGGATCTGGATCCTGGAAAATCGGCAGCACTCTTGTTAGTACAAAACTTGCGACAAAACAAGAAGTTAACTCCTCACTGTAAGATTGTCTGTTCGCTTCCCGAGGAAACAGTGGCTTGTTAAACAATTGCGAGGAGGTAAACTTGAAGTTGGCCACTACTGTGCCATAAGAGCTACAGGCTAAAGTCAAGAAAGACGACTATATATTAAATCACTCCACTACCTTGATTTCGCCCCAAAAAATATCGCCTCCACAGGTAAGCGCTTAATCTCTTTAGATCTCTCGATCCACTTCGGTTGACAAGCGAAAAAATGCATTGCAGCAACCTCTGCTCGGTCTCCCCGCTACCAATGTCGATGTCTAAGCCAGCAGCAGCAGCGCCATCAGATCCATCGAAGCCAAGCAAGCCACTGAAAGAAGTACCTGGAAGCTATGGCTTGCCGGTCCTGGGAGCCGTCAAGGACCGCCTCGACTTCTACTGGTTCCAGGGAGACACCGAGTTCTTCCGCATCCGGATGGAGCAGCACAAGAGCACCGTCTTCCGCGTGAACTACTCCCCGGGGCCTCCTGGCTACCCGGACTCCCGCGGGATCATCCTGCTCGACCAGAAGAGCTTCTCGGTCCTCCTGGACAACTCCAAGGTGGACAAGTCGGACACCCTGCTCGGCCCCTACATCCCCAACCTGGCCTTCACCGGCGGCTACCGGGTCCTCCCATACCTGGACACCTCCGAGGCCAAGCACACCGCCTACAAGGACCTCATCTTCGAGCTCCTCCACGTAAACTCCTCGCGGATCATCCCGGAGTATAACAAAGTCTTCGCCGAGACCGCCGGATCCTGGGAGGAGCGCATCGCCAAGTCGGGCAAAGCGGAGGTGTTCGCCTCGTCGGACGCGATGATCACCAGGTTCTTGCTGCGCACCATCGTCCACAAAGATCCCGCGGAGCCGGGGCCGGCGAGCCTGGGACCGAAGTTCCGGGACACATACCAGCTATGGACGGGGGTAAACTTCGCCGGGATCGCTCACACACCGCTTCCACACTTCTTGGAGGAGCTGCTGTTCCACACCTTCCGGCTGCCACCGTTTCTCGTGAAGAAGCAGTACAAGGCGCTCGCGAATTTCTACCGGACGCACGCCACCGAGGCGCTGGATCTCGCGGAGAAGAAGTATGGGCTGGATCGCGAGGAGACTGTCCACCAGCTCATCCTCATCCTGGGGATCAATGCGCGCCTCGGCCTGCACAAGATGATCCCGGCGCTCATCTACTACCTGGGCTTGCTGGGCGAGGATTTCCAGGCCAAGATCGCTGCGGAGGTGCGATCGGCTGTGCACAAGAACCGCGCCCAGGGAGAAGAGGGCGTGAATATCACCACCCAGGCGCTCCTGGAGATGCCGCTGCTGCGATCCACCGTGCTCGAGACCCTGCGGCTCACGCCCTCGATCTTCTACATGTATGGCCGCGCGCGCGAGGACATGGTGATCGAGTCCCACGACGCCGCGTTCCAGATCAAGAAGGGCGAGCTCCTGGGCGGGCACCAGTACTTCGTGATGCGCGATCCAGAGGTCTTCGAGGAGCCGCACAAGTTCGTGGCCGATAGGTTCCTGGGGGAGCGCGGCAAGGCGGTGTTGCCGTACCTCGTCTGGTCCAACGGGCGGGAGACCGAATCGCCGGCCTCCAGCAACAAGCAGTGCCCCGCCAAGGATGTCGCGGAGCTCATCACGATGCAGTTCGTGGCGGAGATGTTCCTCAGGTACGATTCGTTCGAGATCACCAAGGATTCGTTCATCAACACCACCGAGCTCAATGTGCACCTCAAGTCGCTCAAGAAACGAAGCGTGTAACAGAGGAATATGCTTGTTTTTTGGTTTAATATAAACTTTGCCCTAAACCGTTTAAAATTGTATCTACAAGATGAGATCGCGGCCTTGATGGTGTGTTGGCAGCAATGTGGAGAACCAACCAAAAGAACATGGTAATGGAATCAAATATACAGTGGAAGAGGAGATCACATCATTGCCAGGGAGAGAGACTGAGGCTTGGCTGGGTATAAAAGGCTATAATTTTATTGAAGTGCTTGACATGTGATTGTAAACATTTTATATTGAGTATAAGTCTTTTATATCAATTTCCAGATGAAATAAAAGTTTTGCCACCACCATAAACACCCCTCCAAATCCATCATCTCCATTAGAACCTTCATTGATAGCATCCTCACCATCATCCATACCTTTTCCATTGCCTTGGCTAAAGGACCTTCACTCTCTCACCCATGCAAGGTCCTTTAAAGCACTTGGTGTTTTTGAAGGCACCTTCCTTCTGAAGTACCTCCTTCTAGCCAAGTTCCATATGTTGAAGCACAAATGCTAATCTACCTTTATCACTTGCCGCATCACCTTGCCAGCATCTAATTCGCCATTGCGTCCATTGGAATCTGACAGTATGCATTCCTGGAAGATCTTGGTTGGCTAGAAAACTTTGGTGCTGACGATTTTTCTTGACTGATTGATTCTATCGCAGCGTCTGCACTGAGGCTCGTCCATCACTCTCGCCCACAGCCATCTACGCCTGAGGCACAGTCCGGAACAGATGCAAACCATACTAAATTATGTCATTTTTCTTATCAGTCTTCTCACTACAGGTCGGCGAAACAGTTCTTTTGGAAGGCGACGGTGATATATTGAGGGCTAGTGAAAGTAAGCCTCGTTTCTCAGCAGCGCGTCTTGCACCTGTCAAAACTCCTCCTCGCCAACCAGCCCAATCTACTCAAGAACATTATTTTTTAATTATTGTAGATTCATGCCTGGCAAAGATTGATTGAGATCGATTCTTCTGTCTCTAGCAATGAAATCACGTCGTGCAAAGCATCCTTTTTAGGCTGCTCGCCAAACCTCGGTGTCAAGGAGATATCAAGATGGACTGTGGAGATCCGCATCAAGTAATGACGTCCCATTGATAAAAGGATGAGCATAGCATGGTAAGATTTTTGTGCGCAAACACGCGCCACATGTTTGGGTCCCATGGATACCAGCCACAAGGCCAATGGGCGGCTCTCAGCCGTCGGATGCTGCGATCGGACGTTGGAAAATGCGCCAAGTCTGCATGGGCTCGATTGCGGTTGCGATGCCTTTGGGTCCATCCACGTGGGCTGATGGTGGAGCTGAACTCCCAGGTATTTGTACTTCATGACCTTTATCATCGGGAAAGGTGGTGAGTTGATCCAAAGACTAAGTCTTTTCCAAGTTCACCTCGTCGGCATACAGTAGAAGGAGGTAGAGTGTCCGAGCCTTAAATGCGTGCCTGCGTCACGTCCACTACTCCTGCGGAAGGAGGATGAAACCATTCAGTGCTTTTGGACAAGAGCCTGATACCTAAGGGAAAAAAACAAATCATTGTAAAGGAAAAACGAAACATAAGGAAAGGTGCTTCCAGCTCAAACATCGTCTCTCCTTAGTAGATGCACTACAGCCACGGCAAGTCGATCTCGAGCTGTCGATCTTTTCTTCAGCCGAGTTTGCGGACGAAGAAATGGAGGGGTGTGAGCCGGACGTAGCCCAGGGTTGAGCTTCTGGAGTCTCAAAGTGAGCACTTGGCTCGTTTCTCGTTTTGAAGACACAGCCTTCGAGCTTCTGATCCCTAAAGTATACAAAGAGGAATTATACCTGTTAACAACATTTACTAATAAAAATAGTTGTTTTTATCATTTATATCATCATTACGGCTATTGGATAAACCCAAGCCCGCATCGTCACCGTTTCAACCAACGGCTGCGATGGCACCACGGGAATGAGGATGGCATGTAAGAGAAGGGGGTGCTGGATTGTGCATTTGTCATGCTCCCAGCCCTGAAGCATCAGCAGCCAAAATCCTTGATCTACGTCCTAAAGATCAACAATTCAAGATTGATTTGAGCCTTGTTGGGAAAATTGGAGTTCAAAAGCATGCTTTGGTCAACTCACGTAAAATCTGTAATGACGGACATGGGATTGGAGCAGTAGCTTCCACATCATGGTTCTTTTCCTCTGGCGTTGATCCCTATCCAGTACTTCATCGTCTGCTTCGGACCTTATGAATGAAAACTCACCTGATTTTCGGTACTTTACTTCAAGAATGAAGAATGAGTGAGCTTTTTTAGTCGGCTCTCGCTGCACATAAAGTATATAAAGAGGAGAAAAAAGCAAGTCCGCAAGCTGATGCTGCTTCAAGCGCTTGGCATGCAAGATCCCAAAGGCAAAGAAGCTTTTCTCAGAGCCTTGATTGGCAAGCTTCAGAGGAATTTCTTCCGAGGGCATCCATATGTTTGCGACGGCGCTCACTGCAAGTGTAGTTGTGAGCCATCGTAAGTTGATGGCCGAAGTTGTCCAACACGTCATTGCTAGAACTGAACTCCCCCATGTAGCAGGCATCACAAAAGAATCACAAAAGAGCACCAGTGAGGTGGTGTCGCTGTTGTAAACCAGCTTGAGCCGATCCGGAGTTGTGGCGATTCCGCAGATAGATCGGCCTGCCCTTGCGATCGTTTCTAGAGAGAAACATGAAGAACCACTTTGCTCGAGTGCTCCACTTTCACTCACAATTTAGACACCCTGAAAAATGGGCCACCGAAAAACCCTAAACCCTGGTACAAATCATCTATTTACCTTTTGCGTGTCCGGGAATGTGCATTGTGCTCTCGGAGGCACAGGATCTAAATACCATACAGAGGAGAGATGTGGCAAAGAAGCGGCAGCATCAGCAGTGATTTTCTACAGCCCATGCACACGAAGTTCGTGAAATCGGGTGATTGATTGTCCTGTCTCTCTGCGTGCGCGCTAGCTCATTCATTCACTCATTCCAATCCATTCAGAGTGTCCTTCCCAAGCTTGGTCCAGTCGTCGTCGTCGTTCTCGTGTTTACCTTAACTTTGCCTTGCTTATCTCAAATGTCTCGGATGCGTGCTTGTCCATCGTGTTGTGGCGCGCCGGCATCTACTACTTCGCAGAGAAAAGCCAGTTTAAGCCAGGGAGAGCCCATTGAAGGTCCAAGTCACGCACAGGATAACAGGCAACTAGAGCTTACCTCATTGAACACGCTAAGTTGGCTTCTCGGTTGGCTGGATAATTTTCCCGAGTACCAGATGAGAGGTCACAAAGCTTTCACCCGTTTCCTGGTTGTTGCAGGATGGTCAGGGTAATGAAACGAACATCGCTACCAAAGGTTACAAAAAAGCCCCGTGCAACGTGGAGACCGCGTTTGGATTTTCAGGTACGTGAGCTAAAGAGCTAGAAACCCATTCAGAAAAAGGAAGCGAGCTGGTTTCCATTCCCAGTGATCTTGCCAAGCCTCCAACGAGTGATTTCATTCCATCTATGGCTTCACTGCTTCTCATTTGCCTCATTCGCATGAGGTTTATCCTCGGGACTACGGAGTCCAGTAACTCAAATAATCACCATCTCAATCACCAAAAGTTTGAGTACCTTCTCAAGCACCAATCACCACTTTAGATCTATTACCCATCACCTCACTTTCACCTTCACATCTCTCTCCTCAGCTCCAAGTAAAAATTGTCAGCCATGAGCTTTAACTCCATTACCTTGAATTAAACAAACCCAATCTACGTTAAATAATTGTGAATAGTTTTTGACTTGACAATACTGTCGATTCTTCTTGGCAAAGATTTGAGCAAAATGCGCTTTCAGCTCTTTCTCCAGCAATTTACGACTTTGCGTGTACCTCATCGCAACGACAAACCTCCGCGATGAGCTCCTTGCCACCCTCGAGCAAATAGCTGTTGTTGTTGGATTACAGATTGAGATCGATTCTCCTGTCTCTACCTCGATGCAATCGCGTCGTGCTATCCATCCTTCTTAGGCTGCTCGCCAGCTCTCCATCAACCTCGGTGTCAAAGAGATAGGCCAAGAGCGCCATTTGATGCGCTAGGACGCTGTCTTCTTCCCATTCTGGGAGCTTCTCCAAAACCTGGCAGTTTATCTGCGAAACAAATCCAGGGATCACATTGGCGATGGAGCAAGAAAAGAAAACGAGAGCTACCTTGCCTTCCATTGCGCGTAGCTCATTGAACCAGTCCGAGCCTTGAATGCGTGCTTCCGTCACGTCCAATACCCCTGCGGAAGGAGGATGATGAAAGCATTGAGTGCTTCCGGACAAGAGCCGCAGCTGGAAAAGTGGAGGACGCGCGGGGTAGTCCATAGCTATCGTCACCTAAGGGAAAAAACAACCATTGTCATAAGAAAGAAACGAAACAAAAGGAAAAACGTCTACCTGTGCTTCGAGCTCAAACGCCCGTCCTGAAGCATCGTCGTCTCTCCTTAGTACAGCATTGAAAGCACGAGAGCCATAATCCTTCCAGTTCTGCTTGGAGCAGCTCAGATCTACCTCCTTTTCTTCCGGGACATTCGGCTCACACTCCTCCATTTCTTCGTCCGCAAACTCGGCCGAAGAATAGATCGACAGCTCGAGATCGATTTGCCGTGGTTGTAGTGCATCTTGCCTTGGGGCCGCGAGCTGAGCTTCCGGAGCCTCAAAGCGAGCGCTCTTCTTTGAGCTGGCTCCTTTTTCGTTTGAAGACGCCGGCTTCGATATAGCGGCTGGAGGAAGCTCGCCATCCTCTCTACCAGCTTCACTTTCCAGTGCCAGTGTCTCCACGACGGACGCTTGCGTCCAGCGCTTGAGCAGGCATTTTGGTACATGAGTTGCCCAATGCACGGCCTTGAACTTGAGAGGCGGAATAGCCAATTTTTCCAACGAGTCAAGTTGGCCCCTGCATACAAACAAAGAGTTCTAGAGATCACAAAAGAAAACGCGACACACACCTTCTAGAACTCACTTTAAGGCCAGCTGGGACTTCTTTCTGTTCCGAAGTTGCTGCAAAACAGTTTGCACGCGATGCTGTTGCCTGTAGACGGC